TACACAATGATGATGATGATGATGATTTTTTTTTAAATCACAGTTCAGGATAATAATTCGTTTTGTTTTCTTTCTTTCTTTCCCCTTGTTGTCTGCACGATGTTGTGTGTGTGTGTGTGTGTGTGTGTGTGTGTGTGTGTGTGTGCGTGTGCGTGTGTAAATATATGTGTGTAGACGTAAATGTATGGGTGTTGTTTTTGTCAAATGTATGTGTGTGTGCGTAAGTGAGTATTTGTGCCTGTCTGTCCATCTGTCTGCCTGTCTGTCTGTCTGACTGATTGTATGTGTGTGTGGGTCCGTGTGCCTGTGCCTGTGTGTATACGTGCATATATGTGTATATGATATAATCTTAAACACTTCAATCATAGCACATTTATTGCTCAAAAGATTGCAAACACAAACAGCCAGACTGAAACCGCACACCCTTGAGCGCACACTCACGCACAATAAGCCACTGGATGACGTAGAAAACTCTCCAAGATTATAGTTTCTCATTCTGTCCGATTCCTTACCTTGCTTCAGTCTTCTCACTAAGTTCATACTCCTAAAACCCCAAAAAACCCGAGCCACAGTTAAAAATTCACCCCTAGGCTGAACAAGGAATGGGTATTGTGTTTGCTTGGCTACCTAGCCATGATTAGGCATCCGAGGAGATGAGCAGATCAATCGTTCCCATGTTGGGCTCACAAAAACCTTCCAGTCTCACCAAAATGAGACGGAGTTGTTTCAACCCTATCCGTACGTCGTGTTTTACTACTATATCCATACGACGTGGGAAACTACGTGCCACCACTTTCCAAAGAGGAAATTTACTCGTTAATCCTATCAGTACGCTTTGCACAGCTGTCTGTCAAAAGGGTTTTTGAAGAAATACTGAAACTTTCAAAGAGATCTTGGAACTGGAAGTATTCTAAAATGTGAAGAATACAACCCTGGGGGTATAACATTACCCCAGGGCGTACTGAATTGTTTTAACTGAATTGCACATTGGACATACCTCCATGACGCATACATTTGAATACCTCCTGCAGGGAGATGCAAAACAGTTCTGTGCTAGATGTAAGATCGCCCTTACGATCAGTCACTTGTTCTGTCCCGTCAATCACTTATCGTTCTTATTTCTTCTTTTTCCTTTTTCTGTATGTAACTCTCTAGTAAAACCTCCAATCTTCGACACTCCGATGACTTATATTTTGTGCTGCAAGCGCCATAAAACACTTGCTAAAACTAAAATGTTATTAGACTGAGAATAATCCAATCCTTTTCCCTCTTTTGTTATTAAAAAGTATGATCTCTGTAAAATCTTTTCTCTTCTGCAATTAAATTAATTACCTTTTTGTGTTGCAAGTACAGTAAAACTCTTACTAAAAGCTAAATCTGAATCTTAACACAGTCTCTTTGTTTTCTCTTCCTTTTTTTCCCTTTTCCTTTTTGTTATTTCTCTTTTTTTTCTTATTTTTCTTTTCTTTTTTTTCCCTTATTTTATTTTTTTCATTTTTGGTTCATTTCATTCTTTTTCTTATTTTTTCTTTTTTCTTTTTTTTCATCTCTCTTTTTTAAAATGATTTCTTTTATGTTCCCTCCTTTTTAACATTCTTCCATTTTTCTTTCTCC